CAAATGAAAGGGCAGGCAGGTCAGAGAGGTGTAATGGCAGCCTCTAAGCTTGTGTGTATTCCATTGGGTTGTGTGCCCATTGCTGTGATACATAGTGCCTGGAGACAAAAGTCAAAGTACCAGTAGTTTACTCAGTCCTCTTCTGTCTGTTCTGCTGTGATAGATGTGGCTGACAGGATTTTTTTTTTTTCTTGTTTTTAGCCTTTCTTTTTCAGCATTCCCTCTTATCCCTACAGTAATTTTTTTCACTTCCTACCCTGTTTTCCTTTCTATTTTTCTTCTGGTGTTCTTTTTTCTTCTAGTTTAGCTTAACCTCTACCTATCTTGTCTAAGCTCATCTGTTTTATAAAAAAAAATAATAAAATTTTTCTTCCCTTTTGTTGCTCCACCTCGCTTCTAAGGTACAGTTGTTGGCCCAGCTCTGTATTGTCCGGTTAGACTGTAAGCTGTTTGGAGCAGGCAGGCTTGGCTGCTGCTGATAGAATGCCTAAAGACCAGCTAGGAGTGGCAGCATGCTAGGTAACTTTTAGTACGGTTGGGTTACCAATAGTTTCAGGGATTTCTTGAGCCATTGTGTTTGTAAGGTCCTGTGCAACCTTCTGGTACAATGTGCCGTAGAAGTATAGAGTAGCTTGTTTTAACTGACAATTGCAGTAGAGTGTTTTATGGTACCGAAAAAAACTTGTGAAACTTGCTGCTTTTTTATTTTTGGTCACATTTAGATTGATTTTTTTTTTTTTTTAACATATTTTACTTTTTTACAACCTGATGTGAATGATTGGCTGTCTTGCAGATTGTTTCAAGCCATGCATATCGATGGTGAGTTCTGGGAAGCTGAAGATGAAGACTAGTAGCTTTCTCTAGCAACAAAAGCTGAACAAACCAGAGACAGATGCTTTTCATTTTTGTGTCAAGTTTATTTGCTTTTCGCTTCCACTGTGTGATAGAAGAATGGTAACTACCTTGCACTGCAGGATACTCACACTTCAGAGGCTGTTGCCAAAACCAAAGCAGACCATTTTATCCATCCTGTGGTCAGGATCACCACTGAAGGCCCTAGTAATATCGATTGTTGAAGACAAATACAACCAGTCAGCAGTTGGAACAGTACTGGAAAAATACATACTAAGAGGTACCCCTTTTTCAAAAGCAAACAAACAAAACTGATGCCCCAAGTCATAGAAATATTTGGGGGTTTCCTTTAGGGAGACCGACCTTTTGAGGATCTTGGCTCATATCAATTGTGGGGTTTAGGGCAGTTTTATTACAGCTGTAGTGCTCTTTCTGGAGCTGCTTAGTGATGCTGCTTGGACAGGAAAAGTTCTCAGATGCAATACAGAAAATTTCTGTATCCAGCAACTGAGCCTGTTGCTTCTATAGCATTTCCTGACCCATGGCTCTGAAAGGCAGCTCATTGCTCTGTCACTGATGCTTTCTAATGATGTTAAAGTTGATTATCCCTAACCCCCTTCTTACTGGCTGTAATGCCTGGGTCTTTGCATTACTGAATGCTTTGGCAGAAAATGACCAGCAACTGCTTCCAGAAATTTGAATCAGTTTGATGACTTGACTCAGCGTTGCTATTGTATTCACTCACATTGCCTCTCCTTATGTTGACATTCATGAGTGCTAAGGCAATGAACTGAGTATGTGAAAAGTATCAGTCAGATATTGAAACACATTTTTATGGATACATAGTTGAGATTAACTTGAATTCTTCCAAGACATTGAAAATTACCTTGGTCTTCTCAGATGACGAAGTTATTTATTTTTTACTAACTCTTCATATAAGGGATTTGATTAGTTGATAGTTTTGCTTCTGGGTTAGATCACTTATTTCCACTGTCCTTGCAGTTCAAATTATTTCAAAACCCAAATTGTTTCCCCTAAAAGCTCAGCAAGTAGTTTTGTGAGCATGAAAGTAACTACTGGAAGGAAACACTAGTTTTTTAGAAGTTTTTCCACTTGCAGAATGGTCTCAAAATTTATTTTGAAATTAAAACTGCATGTGCAGTGTTTCAAAACAAAGAGCAGGGTACGGATGGATAGCTCAGGAGCTGGAAGACTCTTCAGAAACTCAAGGTGAACACTTCTCACTCAGTTTTGACTGATAGTAAATAAATTTATACTTGGATATTTGGCCAAAATGAGTGCTGATTTAGTTCCTTTCACAGAGGATGGAAGTTTGTACTAGTAGAATTGGCAGTGATTAAAAAGATGAGATGGTTAG